CTACGAAGCTTCATTGACTTCCAACCTCTCAAACACTCTGAGCTCTCGCATACTTCTTCCCTACAGCTTCTCCGTCCCCAACACCCAGATCTACCTCCGTCTAGGCTTCGGTTACCCCCGCCACCGCCTTGACCTCATGAGCATGGGTGGTCTTATCGCCGTAATACAGCATGACATTGCCGAAACCATCGAGATTGAAGGTGAGGATGCCTTTCCCGTTCTCGACATTGACCATCGACAGAGATTGGCATATACGCTGGGCGACGGCTTTTATCTCGTCGTGCGGAGTGTCAAGGGTTCGCAAAGACTTTTCACGTGGCGGGAATTGAGCAATGTTGTTGAGGGACTGTGGTTGTTCTTGATTGTTGGGGAGAGAAATTATTGCACGGAATTTAAGTTTTGGGATGGGCCGGGGAGGTGGATGGTGGAACATTTAGGAAGTGGGGGAATTGTGTTGGATAGGAGTGGGGCGGAGGAGGTTGCAGATGAAAAGAGTTGAGCAGATTAGACATGGAGTAGGTATATTGATGACGTGCTTCCTTCTGAGAAAGATATTGGGAAGATCTTCGCTATTCGTTAGTTTCGTTACCGTAGCCATTATGTTGCAGAAGTGAAATAGACGACTCACATATCTCAGGTTTGATGAGCACCTTGAGTACATTCGTATACCTGAACATACGACCAAGGTATCTCACTGCCAGGCTGGCGGGCTTGCAAAGGCATATATCTATGCACAGAGCCAAAAGATTTGGCTAACACCCGTTGGACGTCCTTGCCAAAGACCCGTAGACGCTCTGGTAAGTATCGCCAGTGATAGCGCTTGTGATATGCATAATTTTGCTGCCGACGGGATGCTCCAAAACTCTCGGTGTGGTGAGCGGCGTTATAGGCCTCCTGCCTGGTCAATTCAAAATGGGTGTGATGTTCAGATAAGTGACCGAGGAGGATGATGGATGCTAGGTATGGTCATGCGCATTTCACATTCGCATATTCTTTTTTATATATACTCAGACGCGTACTATATGAACACCTACAGACATGATCATTGCCCATGGCAATGACAAATTGTAGAACAGGTAGCAATCCGTGATACCTTGTTGCTCGACATGTATCTTCTCCTTCAGAGTGTATTAGAAACTGGGCGATTATGTGGCTAACGATGTTTCCTAGCTATGACTTGGCACTTGGGACAGTGGGATACAACTGACAGAATGTATAATTCTTTCTGCTGTCCTATGGCTGTCATTATCAATGGTGTTGGTCTGCCCTTAAGAGGGAAGTCCTTGCGATCCTGGATTTTGCAGGTATTGTCTTACGAAATCGTCAATTGATGTCACAGCACGAGCGCCATTTTCGGTTTCTTCCCTATAAATAGAGGATTTTATCAATGCTCTACAAACTAGATGCCCACAGCTCTAGTCTACGCCCGCAAAGGCATGCTGGGCAATTCTTGGCCCACAGATCTATACAATTGCATCTTGTTTACCAGCTCTGCCACCCATGCGCTCCTTCTCTATTTCTGCTGCTCGTCGTGCTTCGACTTCCAACCCTGTCTCCACAACCGTATGATCTTTACTCAATACCCGACCCCCGATGAAGTATATAGTCACGAGTCCCACAGCAGAGAAGGCTGTTTGTAAGATCTACAAATCGCGAATTGCAATATAATACGCGTCCCGTGCTGCAGTCTTCTGATCTGCGGGTAATTTGTTGACTGTGAAAACACTAGACGCCCCTCCTCCATTGGCTAATGTGCCAGTAAGTTTATATTGCCCACGCATGACGTTTTGAAAGACTACTTCGCCAAGAATAAGTCCTATGCTAGTAGCAAGATTTCTGACGAAGCTGAATGTAGAGGTAGCTGTACCGACGTCGCTGCTCTTGACAGCGCTTTGGAAAGCGATGGTCAGTGCCTGGAAGTTTGGATCGATACCGGCACCAAGAATGATCTGAAATATAGCCACCCGGGCCCATTGTCGCGAGTGTGGTAGATCAATAAGTAGACCGCTCCCAAGGGTCATACGTGGAATCCACCGCGTACAAACCATGTATACACCCCCATCGCGGAGATAACCCAGCCTGTGAAAGCATCTACGACGAATACAGGAATGGCCATCGGTAGTAGCAAGACCCCTGAAAACAAGGCACTAGTTCCGAGTACAGATTGGAAGTATAGTGGAAGGAAGTAGAAAGTGATGGAGAGCACGAAGCCGTGGAGCAAAGCAGCAACAAGCGTGGGCGAACGTTGCCACGTGTTAATGATGCTCAGAGGGATGAAAGGGACTTGCGGAATTTTCCACTCACCGAGAATGAAGAGGATTAAAGTAGAGACTCCAAAAACGAGGAGGTAGATGACCGTTGCGGGATTCCATGGATATGACGAGCCGCCGAGGTTCATTCCGACGAGGATCATGACAGTTCTACCGACAATCGTGAGATAGTTAAGCCAGTCTATCGCTTTCAGCCCAGCTACTAGCGCTTTCAGCCCAGCTACTAGGGCTGTCTTTGGAGTCTTGAGTTTTAGAGTCCATGACATAAGCACAAGCACCACTGCAGTGCACGGAACTGCAAGAAGTCAGCAGTTAGTTATAGCATAGATAATATCACTCGCGGTTGATGTAGAAGCACCACCGCCAGCTTACTTTCTCTGAGAGTGTCCCTCCAAGTAAAGGCCTAATGGAGCAGGCAACCGCCTAAGTCATGCACAGAAAGCCACCATATTTCGACTGACCCCTCCAAATCATCAGCGTCTATTGCCTCAATCAATCATGGATATCCACAGAAGAGCATATCTCATAGAAAACAAATCCGCAATCACGATATTCGACAGATTGACCAACCCTGCCCCACCCAAACCCTGCACCGTCCGTCCCGCAATCAACATCACCATGTTAACGGCCGTGGCACTCAACGCACTACCAATGAAAAAGACGGCAATAGCAATGAGGAGCACGGTTTTACGGCCCCAAATATCGCTTACTTTGCCCCAGACAGGCGTCGAGGCCGCGTCGGCAAGAATGTAGGCGGCGCCCACCCAGATGTAGCCTGCGTTTGTGTGGAAGTGCTCGGAGATGGTGGGGAAGGCGGTGGTGACGATGGTTAGGTCTAGGGCGGCGAGGATATCTGTATACAGCTTTGCAATGTAAGGAGGGTGAAGTAGTCTCAGTATTCAGACTCTATTCATATAACCGTTGGCCTTTGCTCTCATAAATATCTCTTTAGATGAGACCTGTCGAACTATGACCCTGTACTTGTAGAGCGAGGAGAAGAGTTTAGAGTCATTGTAGCACAAGGAGTGAGGGAGAGCGGCATATAGCCCCTCTTTAATCCTCTCTCCTTGATCATTTCTGGATCGCCTGAATTAAGGCCGGCGACTTAGGTGTGGAAGTGAGTAGAAAATAATCCCCACCCCTGCTCAACTAGCTCAATCGCTAAAGCGGCCACGGCCGCGCGAGGCCGAATGAGTGGGGGTAACATCGCGTGCCAAGCTGTGCAGGTTTGTACCCCAGCCTACCTACTCGTACGGCCTAGGGGAAATGCCGCTTTACGCTTCTCTTGGCTGGTTTTGCCAAGCCCAACGTCACTTCTCGCCAAATTTTGGTGACAGATTCGAGACCACCGACAGAACATTTTGCTTATCGAAACTTCTGCGTGAGTAGCGGCAGTTTCCAACATGCCGCGAAAACGGTGGATGTGAGTCCGATATCTTATTAATGCCTTGATACTATAATGCTGACTCCAGTAAAGTGACAAAAATGCCTCCACAACATTTCAACTTGTGAACCGGCCTCAAAATGACCCGAAAATCCACGATGCTTCTTCCAGCTCCATGCTCTTCCAAGAGCTTGCTCCTTCACAGGCCCATAAGATCAAAAACCGCAATGACCTAGAAGCAGAGCTTTTCGGCCCAACCGAAAGCAGTATACTTTCAGGCGTTAGAGACAATGAAGGAGAGGCTGCAGAGCATGGGATTTTTTATGACGATACCGAATATGATTATATGCAACATATACGAGATCTCAATGCTGGAAGCGGTAATGGACAAAGTTACCTTGTCGAGGCTGCAACAAAAAAAAAGGATGGGAAAGGGAAAGGGAAAATGAGTTTGGAGGATGCACTGAGAGAGACATCTTTACAGGAAGAACGGAGCGAAAGCGTAGCCAGTCAAAGTGGAGGATCCCAGCTTTTGGATGATGAGTTGCTGCCGTCCAAGGACTTGAGGAGGAGCACATACCAGGATCAGCAGGACGTGCCAGATGCGTTGGCCGGCTTCCAGCCAGACATGGATCCCCGGTTACGGGAGGTACTGGAAGCTTTGGAAGACGAGGCGTACGTTGATGATGAGGAAGATTTCTTCGGAGAGATAGCGAAGGACGGCAGAGAAGTCAGCTTGGAGGAATTTGAGGAGGCCGGCTTCGAGGACGCAGGCGATGAAGCTGGTTGGGAGACAGATGAGACGGAGAAGCCGAGCAAAGAGTACGAGACCGGAGACATGCCTCCACCACCCGTCCCGCAAAGTACAGATACGATGATGGAGGATGGACCTGACCATGGTGATGGCGACTGGATGAAGGAATTCAGTAAATTCAAGCAAGCTGACAAAGCTGCCAAAAAGGCGCAGCTGCAAGCCTCTAATGCTGAACTGCAGTCCTCGATCATGACGGGAACCTCAATGACTGGCGGTCGACGAAAGAAAAGGAAAGGGGCAATGACTTCTAGCACTGGTTATTCAATGACAAGCTCTTCCATTTTTCGAACAGAAGGCCAGACTCTGCTCGACGCACGTTTCGACAAGATCGAAGAAGCATACGCCGAGGACGAAATGGACATGGACGATGGTGGAGCATCCATCATGACGGGGAGTTCAATGGCTTCTAGTCAAGCACCATCTCTGGTTCAGAGGTCAGATTTCGACAGCATCATGGATGACTTCCTGGGTGGGTATTCCATGAGCGGGAAGAAGAGGGTCAAGAAGGGTGGGTATCAGAGTGGCATGGAACAGCTTGATGAAGTACGAAATGGACTAGGCCCGGCAAGAGTCAAGCCGCAGAAGGCTTGAAGATGGGCTGCATAAGCTGTATCAGACTGCATTTAGGGGCGTCAATGTTGCTTCGATAGAATTTATACCCCCAGCTGCGGAAGGAATGATCAGAAAACTTATGCCATACTCGGTTTCAGGGACCGATCCCACTGCGCAGTGACTGACGAGCACATCGTTGAAGCTGAAATTCCCTGTTGACAGTAAAGGAATTGCCCTAACGCTAGTCCCAAACACATCGTCTCTACGAGTATCTCCGAGCGTTCGCGTCGAGGCGTCTTTTTTCTCAGCTGTCGCCAACAACTCTGCAACTTCCAAACAATCGCTCATTATAATCCATCAAATCGACATCATGACATCCACCCAAAAGTACGCTCTGCTCTGCCTAGAGAATCCGTTACTCGGTGAGTGCCCCCAATCCCAATCCCATGAACCGAGTCAAAGGCTGAAAGAGCTGCCTGTCCAGATATCCAAGGCCAAGGGTAAGCTCCAACACCCCGTCTCACCGCTCGGAAAAATATTAACCATATCTACCTAGCGATGAAGCGATGCTCTCCAAATACGGTCTCAAGCCCAATGACGCCATACTCGCCGAAGAAAAGCACATGGGCCTCTACGAAGACCTGCTCCAGAACCACGACGCAAAGCTCATAGCTGGCGGTGCAGCGCAGAACACTACCCGTGGTGCACAAGTACTTCTCCCTCTTTCCCTTTCCCCCCCCCATCTTCCCAACGCACACCGCACAGCGACATTGACCCCCTACGTACCCGCAGTACATCCTCCCCCCGCACTCCACCCTCTACATCGGCTGCGTCGGCTCCGACAAATACGCCACGACCCTGCGCTCCAAGAACGAAGAAGCCGGCGTCCGCTCCGAATATCTCGTCTCTCCCGACCAACCGACCGGCCGCTGCGGGGTCATCATCACCGGCCACGACCGTTCCATGTGCACGCATTTGGCTGCCGCGAACGAGTATAAGATCTCCCATCTCCAATCGCCCGAGGTCTGGAAACTGGCGCAGCAGGCGAAGGTCTACTTTGTCGGCGGATACCACTTGACCGTCTGCGTGCCCGCGATCATGGCGCTGGCGGAGGAAGCAGCCAAGGAGGATAAGGTTTTCATCATGAGCTTGTCCGCTCCCTTCATCCCGCTGTTTTTCAAGGATCAGTTGGCTGAGACGAGCAAGTATTGGGATTACATAATTGGAAATGAGACCGAAGCGAGGAGCTGGGCAGAGTCACAGGGGCATGAGACGAAAGATGTGAAAGAGATCGCGCAGTTGGTAGCGGATTTGCCGAAGGAGAACAAAGGACGTAAGAGGACAGTGATCTTTACGCAGGGGACCGAGAGTACGGTTGTGGCGGTGCAGGGGGAGAAAGAGATTAAGGAGTTTGGGATTATGGAGGTCAAGAAGGAGGATATCTGCGATACTAATGGTGCAGGGTGAGCGCTGTTGATACGTCTTTTTGGGGAGTACCATGCTGATTTAAGGAACAAGTGATGCCTTTGCTGGCGGATTTGTTGCAGGTGTCGTCGAGGGAAAATCACTCGATGAATCGATTGACATGGGACATTGGCTTGCGAGTCTGAGCATCAAGGAGCTGGGACCACAGTACGTTCATTTCCTCCTCGCAGACACAGTTCATCATCCTGTCAACCATCGCAAAGACATTAAGCGACATCGAGCAACATCAATTCAAACTCAAACTCATTATTTGTCCCCTTTGGTCCTTAATGACAACTTGGACACCTTGCGCTCTCGAGCTGACACAGTTCCTTCCTCCAAAGATATCCCTTCCCCAAGCAAAGCTATCAGCCGACGTCGAAAAACGACTTTCTCTCCTTGAATTGAGCCGAGCACAGCAGAGGCGTTCGGGTTTCAACAACTAAAAGCGCTTGAATTCTCATGGCGTACGACGGAATGACGACCACGTGATATGACCGAAATGGACTTCATCCTCCATATATCAGTGCACGGCATGCACTGGCGTAGCACATAGCATAGCACGTAGATAGACGAGAGCAGATGTTCTTGCACTATCAGTCCAGGACGCATATTTTTGATGATTTGAGACTCCGGAGTCGGAAATTGACCTTAGCGCACCAATGTTAGCTTTCAACCGGCACCTTGCCCATTTGGAGGTGTCATAACGTTAGTAGCCTTTCTACCGCTCTGATCGCTACCTCCTCCCCAAGTGCTTCCTTCAAAGACTTCCAAACTCAGAAAATTGGGCTCATCCGCTTGGAGAGGGTTATTTCCAAAAGTCGTGAAGGTCCTGGGACCCCTTGTGTAGTTCTGGACCGAAGGAAACGTGGTTTTCGGAGGAGGCTGGTTCCGGTAGAATTCGTTCGCGTGCGAACCAGGGGCGGGATCTGGCATGGTACTAGGATTGCTAGGACTCGAGTCCGCAGAGAATCCGATTGGCTGCCGCTGAAGAGGAAACCTGGTCTGCGAATTTTGTTGAGAATGACTTGGTGTCTTGCGCTTCGCGGTCGAGGGTCGAGACCCAGGCGTTCGTTCGCCTGGCTGAAGCGCAAAGGGAGAATTGGTAATACTTGGGAGTACGGGCCTAGGGGAATCGGGAACCGGGTCCTGAAGGTCGCCGAAATGCTCTCGTGCCGTGGAATCACCAATAAGGCCATAGCTAGTCTCATCGCCAACATCTCGAGCTGTTGAAGGGCCATATTCTGGGTTTGCGAAGCCATGTGAATTCTCTTTCATAGAATGGTCGATGAATCCAGAATCGTCACCATCGTCGGTCGTTTCAGAGTCAACAAGATCATCAACCATGCGCTTCGAAGCCGGATCCATATTCACGGAAATGGACGCTGCCTGAGAGGCTCCTTCACTGATCGAAATTGGTGCATGATTCTCAGGTAGCGTCGTCTCATCAACATGAGTGACTTCCTCGAGCTCGATACCCGTTGATGACAACGGCGCTTGGTAGCCTTCTTCTTCCCGCATGCCTTCTTCAACGTAGATGAATGTCGTGCTACCCTCCACATCCACAAGCTTGATCGGGACTTTCTGTTTTCCAATGAGCTTCCTCACCAGACATAGAACAGAAAGAACATACGTCATCTAAGTGCTGAATCATGCCATCGGTCAACAGGTCTCCAATTCTCCCTAGCATCTCCACATTAGGATGATGACGCTGAATGCCTCGATCATGGTACCTGGGCTTTTGAAAAACCAGATTAACCTCCTTATAGTATCTTCGCTTTGTATTCTCATTGTCTAACGGCTTAAACCCCACAGTATCTTCGTCTTCATCGAGGAGGTATTCAATTTGAGGCAACTCGGAAACAAAGAATGTTGATGTTAGAAGGGTCAAAGTGGTTGCGTAGATCTTCCACAATTCTCTAACCTGGACGTTCAATACATTGTCGCCCACCTGAGCTGCCAGGATTTCGGCGTTAGAAAGAAGCCAGGAACTGTACTGTCTCAGAGCTGGTAACACACGGCGCGTAACGGCGGTAATTTTGGCGGACCCAGAACTGGGTGCTGCGCCGTCGCTTTGGACATGTTCGCTGACGGAGCGTTCCAATTCTGGTAAAAGTACTTGGAGGAGGGCGAAAAACGTTCTTACGTTCAGGCGTTGAAGGAAGAAGAACGACCGTAATGCCTCCGCAGAACCCCCACATTCTAAGAGAGTGGCTCAGCATGTCTGAGCATAGTACAAACATGAAGCTGATAGCTTACCTTGTAGTCGTACTCCTGCAAAGAACTCGGCAGCTATGTTGATCAAAACAAATTTGCTCAAGGTACCTTCGAACGACCGTTCTTTCAAGTCGACCGCGAGCTGGCTCAGCACCTCACTCTCAAGCTCTTCATGCTCTGGAAAGTCGAGGCCTTTATAACATCGAGCATGTAGGCGCATGAACCATCCCACCAGCGCTTTTCCCGGTTCTTGGCTGTTTTTGACTGGATCAGTCATGATCAACTCCCCCTTACTCCAAGCTTCTTCAATCTTCTTGAATTCAACCTCCAGGTTGTCTTTTCCCATAGGATAGGGCTCCTCGACAGCCAATGCGCGATAGATATGATAAGTAGCCGACAAGTGATTGACGTCAACCAGTGCAATGACTGCCAGTTGGTTGTGGGAAACTCCTGACATAGGGTGTATCAGACCAGCGAGATTATAATATCCTATAGCTGGGCCCCAATTGCGATTCTTTGTTACAGACTGTGTCTCACGCCATCTCGAAAGGTCGCCCAGACGGACGAGCGTCTGATGGCAGGATACGAGGATGGAATGGGCCAAGGTGCCGGAGACCTGTGTTGGCTCATCAGCCGACAGAGCTATAAAGACACAGTCAACATGTGGGTCTCTTGTTCAGCTTTCGCCTGACAATCTTACTGCTTAGGGTCAATCTGTTAGCAACAGCATCCAGCTCTCGGAGACCACCGAATCGCGATGCTAATCTCTGTATGTAACCACGATAGAAACGCTGACCAGACTTGATGAAGTCAAGAAAGTGTTTGACGAGTTTGCGTTCTTCGACCGCTTTTCTCTTTCCCGCAGTCTCTCGGAACTACCAACGGCATAAGCGTCGAGAGCGATTGGTAACTCGCGGAAAATGAGAGACAAACGTGCTTCAGTTCCTTGCGAAATCGATTGTTGATTTTGCCATGGGCGTCCCACAGCCTATTCTCAGCACTCTTGCCGATGGCAAATTCAAAATCTTGCAATATAACGTTTTCACATGCCGTGCGGTATCTTCAACAGTCAGATGTGCCTTTCTTAGGGTGTATGAAAGATGTACTGAGCCAGGAAATGGGCAATGTTCGGAAATGTGGAGTCTTCCCTGCCCAGGTAGGTCGACAGGTCTCTCTCTGCTCGGTGGGCCAGCCTGTGCGTTTTGAGCTTCCATCTCAATAGCAAAACAGGAGACCAGAAGTACCTCCATCTCTCCTCATTTGTGTTTGCCATGGCGAACGGAGCAGCTCCGACTCTTCATCAAGACCCCACGGTAAGCCGCGCCGTTAGAGATAGTAACGCGATTCCAACGGTTGGACTGTACTCGAACAGTCCATTGAGGAAGTCGACTAGAAGGCACAATTGCAAAGACTTTGAAAGAGTCTGCTCGCTAGGAAGTCATGCGCGGGATTCATATGTGTAGGTGATGTTCGCGATTGGAGTCCTTAAGTCCATATCTTATGTCCGAGTCTTGTTTTCTTGAGGAGCCGGAAAGCCAATCTCTTGGTACTCTCATCCTCTCATGTACTTATCGTTCTCGAGCACACCGCACTACTCTTCCAACACTTGTGGAAGTCTCTTTGAGGGACTGATGTTGCATCATGAGGGATAGTATGTTGGGCAAGAAGTAACCAGAGTAACCTCCTCACCGCTAAATTCACACAAGCTATGCCTAAACGCTCACGAGAAGATTCCCCCTCGCCGACGACGACCTTTTCGCTTTCTCCAACACCAGATCCTTCGTCTCCAGCCTCAACAGATGCACCAGTGCACCCTTCAAAGTACATACAGACATCGGACGAGCGTTCTACACGAAGAGTTATGAAATGCTCCCTTCCACCCCACCATGATACGATATCATTCTCTACCTTCGAGGAATTCGAGCTCCATTACGCTAGAGAGCACGCACATCGATGTTCTGAATGCCGGAAAAACTTCCCTACAGAGCACTTCCTAGGGCTACATATTAGCGAGAATCATGATCCTTTGACCGAAGCACGGAGAGCAAAGGAAGAGAAGACGGTACGTCTGGGCAGATTATTGCTCTGGGAAAGATCTGGGAAATATCAAGTCGGTGCTGACAGCGAGCAACAGTACCAATGTTTCGTTGAAGACTGCGACAAAATTTGCTCGACTGCGCAAAAACGACGGATGCATCTCACAGATAAACATATCTTCCCCAAGGTAAGCACGGACCCTGGCGTGGCCTTTTGAGTGCTCGCTCAGTCTAACAATCGTGCAGAATTATGATTTCCAAATCGTTAATACAGGCATTGACAAGCGTAGCTCCATGCTGCGTTCCCGGCCAAGAAAGCATAGCTCTGCTGCGTCCAGAGCTTTCCACCGCGAGCAACATACTAACAGTACCGAGGCCTTTCAAGGTCACAATCCTGACTCTGCAAATACACTCGAATCTTCAGCGGCAGAGACTAGCAAAGGAAGCAGTGGAAGACTAGGTCATTCGCCTTCTCTTCCAGCGGACATCGATGAACTCGTGTCGACGATGTCCGCCCTTAAATTTGTGCCCCCTAGTGTTCATTTTGGACGAGGAGGGCGGCGAGGTGGCTTGAGTAGGTCATGATAAGGGCGTGTGCTGTCTGCCGAACCAGTTTCGTGCGAGGTTAGATGTTGTAAACCAAGCCAAGCCAGACCAAACGCCTTACTAACGTCCCAAAACCTGGGCTCAGTCCCCGATGTGTACGCCCCTATCTGCTCTTCCCATGTGCATACGGCCTGTTTGAATGATGAAAACCCCCAAGAGCTGCAAATCATTATGAGCCCAGAGTGTGGTTCCTTCTGTTGAAAGTAGGATATCAGACATGTTAGAAAGAATGATTGTAACTGAAAGACTGATTATTGATTCATGGAATGTACGGATATTTATATACATAAAACAGGTGGCTGGTGGCTGGCAATTACCAGCCCTGGTAATACGCGACATGTATGCGAGGGGCTGGTATTGTAACACCTTCCTCGCAGATAACCCCAATTATCTTCACCTTGGATCGCGCATGAACGGTGAAAAATGGTTTTCTAAGAGGTGACCATTTCTCCCTTCCAGTCATCTCTGAATGCGTAACCGCATGTTTATAATTTGAGGCGTAGGGACTATGCAAGGTAGCTCTGCGGAGTGAGCGACGCCGAGTCTCGGAGGCTGCTATACAGGCTGTTGAAAGCGTATCGATAGTTGTCAAAGCAACAACATTTCGATCTCCAACTGCCATCACCCTCAGAATTAGTGCCGATGAGGACTGTCCTTACCAGCGTGGAAAGGCGGCTGCGGCTTAGCGTAGAGCTGGCTACTGGTTGCCGCCATTGAAAAAGCTCGAGGCGATTGTGGAAGCAAACACGCTTCCGAGATCTGTATATAAAGTTGTTGGCAAATACCTCTGAGCTAAGATCTGACCTTTTCTACTCATGCTTGCAAGGTTTATATGCCTCCGTCCCTAAGCAAAAATCGATATCCATTTATATGCATGACCACGACCCTCACACGTTGCCGCTTGTTCCCGGGTTGGCAAGAGAGTGATGTTGGGGGGGGAGAGGGTGAAGAGGTATTGGCGATGGAGAAAGTAGAGGAATCAGGAAGGGAAAGACACGGCAGAGGATGAAAATAATTAAACATATATCGAAATACTTTGAACAACGAGGGACAAAGGTGGGCAAAGCCCAGAGGAAGACGTATCCGTATTCCTTTCTCTAACCACCTGCCCGCAAATTGCAAGATATCCAGGGTACATACCCAACTCCAGGTCTCGTGCTCGTTCCGATGCTCTCACCGAGCTCACGTGAGAATAGTGGTTGGGGCTGTTGGTAATCTTATCCAATGGTGCTTGATTTCATGTCTGGATATGTCAATCTTGAGCATTTGGCTCACAAATGAGCCGGTGCCGATTCACGGCTATTGAGCTGACAAGGGTAAACCAGAGCGCGGCGCCATGGAGTCCCTCACCAAAAGCGAGGTACATGTCGAAACGCCGAATTTCTAGAGAATAAGAAGCCGATGCATCATTGACGTTGTGTCCGAAGGTGCAATGAGAATCATGAACGACTCCTAATTCAACTCAAATTGAGCCTTCCCCTCGGTCTCTGTTGCACTTTTTGTTCGCTGTCGCATTGTCATGCATATGCATATGCAGGGGGAACCGTAATTGCTCGGTTGCTCCAACGATAACGCCCCAAGCGGTAGATCAAGGCCGCGCTACTGCACCTACGACTTGGTGCGTGTTGGTGGTTCTGGGCCTTGAGAGACTCGATTGATTAATAAAGTAGATTGAAGAATGTTTTTGAATCTGTCTATGGCCGCTGATCTGCAGCTGTCCCGCTCTTAATTTGCCCAACCTTCGCGCCGCCACCGAGGGTGAAGGCCCGCATAGTGTGCCTGAATGTGTGTGTGTAGTTCCTACGCCAGAGGGGCGGCCCTGAAGGAAAAGGCGAAGAATGGGTTTTGTTATGTTAGCGTGGCCTGCCTTGACAAGGCCGCCATCAATGGAGGGCGAGCCATTCCTGCCTGCGAGAGACATCGCAAGATGTGGCTGCAGCGGACGGCGTTGCGCCTTGAGATCCCGGCTCCGCGTCGTCCACGGCATGGTTGCGGGATCCGTAGAAGCAACCCGAATGAAATGACAGCATGTTTGTCCATGGTTTCCGTCCCTTCTGCTGTTGTTAGTCTGATTCGCAAGACCGAGCCGGTAAACATACGAGGCGGGGATTTCTACATTGATTTCGAATTCGTGTCACTAAAGTAGGAGGTTTTCGAGAAGACGATTTACTAATTCAGAGATTTCCCTGTCGAAATCGCAGTTCGCCGCCTGGTTTGACAGGTTGTTATTGACACCCCCATCAAGTACGACAAATCAATCCCGGAACTTTAGGCTGCTATTCCTCGTACTGGATCTACGGCCAATTTCTCTTGTGCCGTCATGAGGAAGGTCTATGGGCAAGAAAAAGAGACATTCGGAAAGACACGGGACGAACTCAGGCATCTGTTGCACGACGCTGACATGGAAACAGACAGCTATGTGGTGGAATGGTCCAACAGTGGGATAGACTACAGTTTCTTGAAGATGATCATGCAACAACACACTCCTTCAAACTCCATTCTACTTATCCATTTCTGGAGGCCCGTCCTCCCTGGATTCTTAAGTATGAGACTGAACTACTTCTATGCTTTTCTCTATCCGGATTCCAGCATCCAAGAGCACGCTCACCAGGCGAATTTGATAGCCTGATGCTCGTTGGGCAATGAGGGTTTTCATTGACCTTGCTCATCGGGCTGACCCTAGAGCTGAAGAATTTGGTAAGGGCGAGCTACGGATCGATGAACAGATATCCCGGCTACAAAAGCAACTGGTGATGGAGTACGACAAGGACGAAGAATCCGATGATGGTCAAAGTGTGAAAGACGTCGACTCACTCGAGACTCAGATTGCTCACGTAGAGGCGATGGAAGCAATGACTGGTGGAGAGAAAAAATTCGCTGATCTCTTTCTTAAATCTTTCGGTACACTACCGTCTGTCGACTCAATCTCTGGTCCCACGAACAGCACCAGTGTCGGGGAACGAGGTTCTTAAGTCGAATCGGAAAGCTTGAGGACTTTCACGGTCACGGTCACGGTACGCGTGACCCGTGATTCATCGAGTGCACGTATGACGGTCAGGCACGGCAATGTTGTTGGCAGACCAACCACCACTTGTTATTTGGTTTAGGGCCTCTCTTCCCTCCTCATAGCCATCTTGGAAGCATCGAAGCTAGGGCCAAAGACTTCGACTGGCCTTACTGACCCCTGCGGTAACAAGGCGGAATTTGATATCCAAAGTGAGAGATGTGTTCGCAGAAACGCCCTAGAGCAACCGCCCATGTAGAACATACATGATTTACATTACTATAGGTTCATTCTTCGAGGTCTCCGGTGGTTGTAAATCAGAGCCAAGGCAAGGCCGCCTATTATCATCTCATTTGAAGGTGTGGTTATGTCCTGCGAAATGAAATGTCGCAGGCAGGCTGAAGGAAGATGAGACAGGGCTGAAGCGTATTACCGCAACCTCCAGCGTAGATTGGGAGCGTAGCTATCGAGTGGAATAAGCCTCATGTATTGAATGGCAATGATCCCCCCCTCGCATGAAAACCCTCTCCTCCGACAATTCTCCGCTGTGCAGCTGCCGCCTTGTCAGGTTAACGAATTAAGTGCTTGCTAGTCGTTCCTCAATCACTGCGACAATCTCGTGCCAATCGCACATGGCTCCCTGGCCAACGTCACCACATGCCAACTGCTTTACCTGTGGCGATAATATTTCAAACCAGTCCCATTCCTCGGCCAGTATCGCTAATTGCTTTGCCGTGATGGGATTTAGCCACATCATCTGGTTCATCGCCGGCGCCGCAATAATTGCACGCTTTACGTCCCAAGCGCGGATTACGGTGGTCAGGAGGTCGTCGCAGAGACCCCCTGTGACCTTTGCCAAAAGATTCGCGGACATGGGGACGATCGCGAGGAGGTGAGCCCAACGGCGGAGCTCGATATGTAATATCTTCGAATGCCTCGTCCACGGGTCGATCCACTCGTCTTCGTCGAGATACACGGCATCCACGTGGGGGAGCAAGGCCAGGGAAGGAACGGTGGGCTGCTCGGGAGACTGACCGGCAAGAAATTTCGTCGCCGCTTTGGTGACGATGACTCGAATCGAGAGATTCGGGTGGGTTTCAAACGAGGATATGATCAGGGGCAGTTTGATGGTGGCAACAGAGCCACTTGCGGCTAAAAGCAGGTGCTTTTTGCCATCATGGATTGCGTCCGAAACGACAGCTGCTGGATCTCGATACGTCCCTTGAACGCCTGCGTCGTGGCTGGTTGCCATGGTCATCTCGACTCTTCAGACAGGATGTGACCTCGGGAACCCGTATTTTAGCGCGGTCAAGTCTCTCAATCTTCTTTATTACCTCTTTTAATTACTGTAGCTATTATTGTTACTCGGATCAAGTGGCATATCAGAACCCCTACGGCGGTGCGGAAATACGAGCTGCCTAGCGTATGCTACCCGCACACAAGAAAATGGAAGGGATAGAGATTTGAAGAAGAGGAGTTCTGGTGGGTAGGAGGTGTTTTTATTCTATGAAGCAGGAAGGCTGCTGCAGGATATATCCCACCAGGCCAAGCCGCTATGCTACATATGGACTAGCTGTAAAAGCCTGCAAGGAAGCCACGCCCATAACTGATAGCTGTCCAATTTCTACAACTTCAGCAATGCTACAATAATGGCCCCAATCACCCTCCATCTTGTATGAACTCATGCCCTAAAAGGCCCCTCGCTGGTGGGAGTGGTCAATTTCATCTCACGCCAAATACCGGCGTACAAGTGAAATAATCGAATGATGTGAAACACTTCGGGCATAGAAGCACTTCTCCACTTTGGTCAAATAATAATAGGGAGTTTCAGACCACTTTTTTTTTTGCTGTGGAATAGTGGAATATTCAGACTTTCAGCTATAGAAGAATAGAATTATCTAGATTAGTCTAAATACCCCCACTATTAAATAAGCTTCTTTAATAAATTTATAATAGATTCGCTTAGTTATTATCTAAGAAAATCGTATAATCTTTCTTATATCTAATTCTTTTTACTCTAAATTTTTATATAACTATATCTTATTTATCGATAAAGAAAGTATATAGACGTAAGCTATTTAATCTCTTTCTTATTAGTTATATAAGACGCGGTTTTAGATATTATATAATAAGAAGATAGCGAGTAATTTATAAAGTATTTATAAAGTAGCGTTATATAAAGCCGCGACTCTTTATATCTAAATTAAATTAGACGAGTTATATTCTTTCTTAATATAACGACGCTCGATAGCGAGTCTTTACTTATATAAATTCTAAGAGTTTTTAGTATATTCTTTAACTTATCTCTTATAATCCTATATTTTATAATAACTTCTCTTATTAATAAGCTTTAATTAAGATATAACTTAAGATTATATTATAAAAGCTAGAATATAATAAAAGTATAAATAGTTATCGTCTCTTAGTTAGTTAATAAAGCGTCTTAAAGAGATATATAAATAATTATATAAGACGAGTTATAATAGCTCTATTTTAGCTATAAGAATAGTATATTTAATAGCTCTCTAAGATAGAGCGATAATATAAGAATATAATAAATAATAATAGAAAAGACTTTCTCGAAGTAATAGAAAAGGCGGATAGAATAGATATCGTGCTATTATATAAATCTAAAGACGTATTTAATAATAAAAATTTCTTTAATAAAAAGAAGAGATATATTATCGATCTTTACGATATATATAACTCGTCGAAGAGATTTATCTATATACTTATTAACTTTTTAAATATTACTTATAATATAAGAGTATAAGATTATACTCGACTATATTAGAATTTAAAAGCTTACTTCTTAGCGAAATAGTATATATTTATTAATAATATATACTCTAGTATAGAGTACTTAGTTTCGCTATATAAAGCTTTATATACGAGATAAAGAAGAATTTAAATATTTAATAGACGACTTTTTAGTATAAGAATCGATATCGAATATATATTCGATATT